GCTGGGATAGAATTCCCAGAGGAGCTGTGGCTGCCCCTGGATCCCTGGAAGTGTCCAAGGCCAGGTTGGAGCAACCTGGGACAGTGGAAGGTGTCCCTGCCCATGGCAGGGGGTGGGATGAGATGAGCTCTAAGGTCCCTTCCAACCCAAACAATTCCATGAGTCCAACATTGTAGGAGGAACTGGAGCCTCCATGAACTGCTGGAGGACTTCATGAGGTCCTGACACATCCCATCCTGCCCCCAAGGCAGCCAGGGAGTATTGTCTCATCTTCCCTAAACAAGGGAATGTCTGAATGCCCTGAGGAGTTTCCTCTCACCCTGCCTTTCCCTCCACAGCCTCCTTAGGCTCAGGCCAGGATCCAGCTTAGCTGGGCTGGAAGATGCAGTTTCTCTTTTTTAGCCTCAGAAAATACAGTCTCTAGCCCCCAAAAAAGCCTGCTTTGCTTGGCACCTGATCCACCAGCAAGGGTGGAACAATATCCCAATATTCCCTGTTTCCACGTGGGAGTTGTGCTGACACTTTGACAAGTCCCAGTGAGTGAGGCTGGAGAACACCAGAGCTGTGTTTCTCTTAAAGCCAAAAGCTCAGTTTTTTTGGCCAATCTGAAAGGCCAAAATGGTGTTCCTTGCACAGGGGACAACCACATCCCTGGAGCAGGGCTTGGAATCCCACGGCATCACACCTACCCCACGAGGACTGTGTGGGACACACAGCAAAAAAAACCCACCCTGTTTATTCCAGAAAACCCTGGGGGCTGCAGAGCAGGGTGTGACATCATGCTGGGCATATTCAGGGAGCTGGTGAGGTTCCAGGGCTCGGGAATTACCTGCTGGATCATCTCAGGGTGCTGCTGCATGATGTGCAGGAAGCGGTCGCTCTCCTGGGTCAGGGGGGTCGTTCTCTTCTTGGTGCTGCGGGACAGTTGCTTGAAGAGATAAGTGACAATGTGGTCCAGGCAGGAGCAGCAGCCCGTGCAAACCATGGTGTCTGCAGGAACAGGGAGAGCGGGAATGTTGGGATGCTGCTGGAAGGGCTCCCCGGGGGAACAGCGACGCTTCTCGGGGGCCTTTTGGGGTCTGAGGAGCAGAAACTGCCCCAACCCTGACCAGGTCAGAAACCTCCTCCCTGGGGTGAGGCTAAAGAATTGGGAATGTACAGCCTGGAGAAGGGAAGGATCCAGGGAGGCCTAATTGTGGCCTTCCAGTGCTTGGAAAGGGCTGGAAGAAAGGTGGAGATGGACTTTGGGCAAGAGCCTGGAGGGGCAGGACAAGGGGAATGGCTTCCCACTGCCAGAGGGCAGGGATAGAGGGGAGAGTGGGAAGGAATTCTTCCCTGTGGCTGCCCCTGGATCCCTGGGAGTGTCCAAGGCCAGGCTGGAGCAACCTGGGCTAGTGGAAGGTGTCCCTGCCCATGGCAGGGGGTGGCACTGGATGGGCTTTAAGGTCCTTTCCAACCCAAAGCATTCCATGATTCCATGATATTCACAGGGATGGAAAGGACCAGTGGTGGGGTCACCTGGTCCAACCTCTCCCTCCCTCTCTCTAACATTCCACCTTTAACAGAGGGGAAACTCCTCCACCTGTTCTCACAAGGGACATTCCATCTGTTATCCTGAAACTCTCCCAAATCTCTCTCTCCACTTCCAAACCAAATCCCTGAAAACACAACAGAGAGCAGGAGGAATTACCTAGTGCAGTGAGACCTTCTGAAATGGAAGAGAGAATGTACATGATTACATGAGGCTCCAGACTGGCTATAAAGTTCATGTGGTCCTGGGTAAGAACTTCCAGCAAGGAATAGTAGGACTGGCTGAGCTTGGGATAATCCTGCAGGGAAAGGAGGAGAGGAAGAGTTTTAAGTCTTCATGGTTACCCTGGAACCATCAGTTGAGGCTTTCTAGACCCAACCCTTTATTAATCACCTGGAAAGAACAAACCAACTCCTCTTCCAGCATATTTATGGGCAAACAGATTTCCCCCCCCCTTCCTTCTCCCTCAACAAAACCATTCCACAGGTTCCCAACTCTGGTCTATTAAATCCTCTTTCCCACTGGTTGCTGTTTTCTCACAGGAAACTTGGACCTCTCCAGGTGCCAAGTCACCCAAAAATTCAAC